GCCTTAAAATTACATTGACTAAGTGTTGAATAAAATGGTTAAATTAAATTTGGTATGATCTCGGTCTTGACTCGGTCTCGCTTTGTCTTGGTCTCGGTCTCGACTCGTCTCAACCCCTCAAAGTCTTGGTCTTGTCTCGGTCTCGATACACTGTGGTCTCAGCCATGTCTTGGTCTCGGTTTAGGTGGTCTTGACTACAACACTAGTTTCCACAGAGTAGGTTCAACTAAGAGCAACCAACAGTAAGAACAGTCTCTTAAAGCAACACAAAAAGAGCTTAAGATGGTGGTCATCAATTAACCAAATCTCTCTCAGTTGTTTTTGTTAAAACTTAATGAATACATTGGTTTTCACCCCAATGTACTTGTTTGTAAGTATAATTGGTGTTCAATGTAACGACATATGGTTGGTCTAGAAGTGGAATCAAAATGATTGATATTGTAGGGTTTTAGTGTGGTAGAAAATAAGATGTACTTATTTCCACACACTAAAGCAAGTGATTGCATTAATTACAATTATTAAAACTAACCTTTGAATTATTCGTCCAGCGATATAATCTCAGAGTCAGCATAATAATTCCAATAAATTGTTTACTCTTGGTGCTCAGTCAAGAGTGTTTTATAAAGTTAAGGGAATTAACTTAGAGCTTAGGTAACTAAAGATCACATACGTAAAGTGACTGGATGTAAGCTATAGAAAACACAGGAAACAACTGTATACAAACACACAACATTTATTTCTAACTAAACAAACAAACAAATAACAACAACAAACATAAAGTATAAAATACAAACAATGATGAAAATGCTGGTTGAGAGTATGAATGTGGAAAACCTAATGTGGAGCAGAATGGTGGTTTGGAGACTTAAAAGTCTTTTCACCTGAAGCAGCAGATAATCTGTTAAATTTGGAATATTGGTCTGAAGGCCAATTGTAATCATAAAACACCCGTTTAGAGACAGAAGCTTGATACTTGCAGTTTCCAGGGTGCAGCAGCGTCTGGGAGACGAGGCTTTCAGCTTGAGTTGGATCAGGGTGTGGCAGTTGAAGTTGCTACATTGGACCAAAGTGGGCAGCTCTCCTGCCTCATGGAGAGAGCCTAGAGAATGCCGTAGAATGCTAATGCTTTTCGGGTGAAGAGGCTTTTTAATAGTGAAACGACTAACCAATCACACCAATCACTGCTCCCAGAGGGGCTGTTAGATATGACACCCCAGTATCACCGGGAGGTCATGAGGTGGTCATGAGTTTTGCTCTGAAAGTAACAATGTTCCTTCAGAACTATATGTACTTTCAATTATACAAAGTTAAGCTTGTTGGAAATGAATGTGTCACATGTAGAGCTTCACGGGGAGTGTAAACATGACTGAGCTATCTTGTACGGTTACAGAGATAACACAATGCTTAGGATATGATAATATAACAAGCTGATAAATTAAAGAAGGACTTATCCAACTGTAATTAAGCTTTGGAGTATTTATCAGGATATGATATATCATAACATTTAACGATTAAACTTAACACAAGGTAAGAAGGCACATCTTCTGGTGCTGTGTCTTATTGTTCATTGATGAGTTCAGTTCTTGCATGCCACGGGAAATGAGGGGTCAGCAGAGCAATACGTTAAGCCCAGGGCACTTCATTGCGCCTGGCCATCTGTTAAGATCTGCGTGGTCTTGAATGTTTTTCTTTGTCTTCCCCCAAAAGCTCATGTGTATTAGATCCTTTCCTTTGAGGCTCGACGTAAGTATGATAAGGAAATTCCCAATGGGGCTCTGCTTCCTCCGGCTTCGACTCCTCCGAGTCTGCAGAGCTGATTTACATGGCCCTGTGACCTGCAGGACAGTTCTGTCTTTTTTATGGCTGGAAAGTTCAAATGAAGTTTTTCGAATCCTTTTGGGCATCTGTGTCTGTCCATATCCTACAATATTGTCCAAATATTATTCTGATTGCATAAATATGAATAGCTGCCAACAATACTACGCCTCACACAAGGTAGCAAAAGGTATGGGTGCAACCGTGTTACAAGTTATTAAAATAACCTTCATGCATGACTTGCTGAAAATCAGGGCACCACATTCAATAAAGTTGAAGGATTTTGGAGCTGTACATAGTAAAGGTTGGCAGCATGTTCTTGTATGCAATATTAATTAGACCAGCAGATACACACTAACCATTTATTAAAGAAAATAGTGAAACACAATATTTACAAAATAGTCTCACTGTTTGTACTTACACGAGGATTAAAAAGTGTGTTTGTATGTGTGTGTGCCTGTTGTGACCGCAACAGAGGCAATGTGTGTCTCTTTGTTCTGCCTTCGTCATGTGCTCAGGCATGAACCCACGTGTTACACCAGAACAGAAGACACTGAAGATGAGATGAGATTAGGTGAACTTTATGGTCCTGAAAGAAATTTGTCTTGGGCTAAAAGTGCAAAAGGATGCAGCTGCACACATACGAGGTGTGTCAGAAAAGTTCCAGGACTGGTGTCACAAACGATGTATTTCAAACTCAAACTACAAACTAGGAGTTTTCCCCTTCAGGCAATCAACCAGCACATCTGCAAAGAGATCCTGCGGCTTTTGCTTCGTTCAGTGAGCGAGAAGAGGCGAGAGTTGTGTCAGGACAAGTCGTGACTGCTTCCCGTTTTGAAGACGTGGACAACATCAGGATGGCTGTAATGACGGAGCTGCGGAGGATCCCGGAAGAATCCTTCCAGGAATGCGTACATACAAAACATAATAAGCACAATAAGGCTGCAAAGATTAGTCGCCAACTTTGACAATAAAAATTCATCGACGCTAAATTTCATTGTCGATGCATCGCGTTATAAACGTCCTGTAAGGGCTTTGATAATAAAACACTGCGCCAGGCGTCTTAACACCGTCCAACCATAGCTTTCCAGACAGTATGAGAAGTCCCAACACTATGCAAATGACTGCAATGCACCACAAGAAATGCTGGGGGCAGTACTGTCACTATTTGCACCGTCTGTGTGCTCAACCAACGAAGAACAGTTCAAGACCGATGGCGGTGCAAGCTGAGAAGGTCAGAGTGACGTCAAGACGAGGCCTCGTCTTTCAAAAGTTTGGCAATATTTCAAGTAAAGTGTCAAAACAGGTGAAATGTACAGTCTGCCACGTAGAGTTGGCAAGCCATGGCAGCACAACAGTCATGCATGAGCGTCTGAAATGAAAGCACCCTGGAGTCATGGCTTCCGGCATTCCGGATGGGTAAATAGGCTATGTACTTCAGGATGACATTAACTATTTGGAGGCCATTTCATGATAATGAACGTATTAAGTGCAATAGAGCACCAAATTCTAGAAGTGTACAGCTTCCCTGACAGAACTACCATTAACTGTAACCATTTTTTAAGACCACAAAGACACAAAACAAGAAACCTACCGCTTCGGCAAACGTAATCCTTTATTAAGATGGCAGCAGCACATGCTAGCATCATTAAAATGCTGCGCGTCTCAGTCAGTCGGCTTAAAAAATGATTGCAGTTAATCCCAAAGGAGGTATATAGGGGGTATATAGTGTTCATATGCACTGTACATAAATATGTCTTCATTTTGTTGTCACAGGGCATTTGATAACAGTGGACTCCGCCTACTTAGAAGACCAGGAGCAGGCAATTCTTGTCAGTCCTACTCTGGACCAGCGGGACTGGAGCTGTGTGAGGCTGGTGTATCAGATCACTGGGAAGGGTTCCCTGCAGCTCCACTTAAGACCAGACAGTGACAACTTTGACTATCGGCTCTGGACTGCCAACAAAGCTTCTGACAGCTGGCTCATCGCTAGTGTGGACCTACCAAACACCACCATCCCCTACCAGGTAGGGATGGATGTAAAGACCATAATCACAGTGGTGCCTATTGTTTTTGTCAGCCCCCGTACACACTGATAAACTAACACATTATGTAAATAATGCAAACAGGAATAAAGTTGCAAATAACTGTTTTGTACATTCAATCCATATTTCACATGGATAATCTGGGACTTAAAAGGTCAAAGGTAGCTCTTCTTTGGCTATATTATAAGCAGTGTTTAAGCAATTTTATTATTATTTCTGTGAACTTAACTTTGATTTTTCAGCACCACCGCACTGTGGAGAAGTGGGTTGCTTTGCCGGCCAACCGCCATTTCTTTGAGATATTGTGCTTTTTTAATGTTTCAGTTCAGAACGTCAGCAGAATCAATGATCCCAGCCGTGCGTTGGCCACAGTCTTTGCAATGAATGCAGTTCAGTATGTTGGCTGTTTTATCATGTCTCAGTTTTTTCCACAAGTTGATATTATAGTTGTGGCAGTGGGTAACTTGCTATGACTGATGTGTATTTAGGGACTCGTACAGTTTAGAGGAAGATTGTAACCTGGGTTGATTTCTGAAGCTACAATCTGCAGGTGTCCCCTAAGCCCCTTACATGAATTGGTAGATGCTACTAGGTGGCTGTGCACAGAGAAGCCCCTCATCTTACCTTTTTGACAGGAGTTTTCATTCTCTTATTTTCTTCTGTATGCATTCTTTTCATTTATTGATTACTCCCATCCCTTTTACAAAAAATGCTCTAAAATTGTGAGATGACACCACAGTCATTAGCCTGATCACTGGGGGTGATGAAACAATATACAAGAGAGAAGCGGCAAGTCTGGTGGCGTGCTTTGACAGCAACAACCTTAGCCCTGATAGACTGTTTGAATGCACAGAACATGGTAATACATCTCTTTGACCTGCAGAGTTCACCAGTGAAGGTGACTACATTTACAGATCTACAGAAACCACAGCAGTGAGGGATTCCTAGTCTGATGACACAGTGGTTAAGACTTTGAGCTGATCAGACTGAGAACGTTGGAGGGATGAGTCTCAGCAAAGCCAAGCTGCCACTGTTGGGCCCTTGAGCAAGGCTTTTTTACCTTATGTGCTCCAGGGCGCCGTAATGTGGCTGACTCTGTGAAGACTGTATTTGGTTGCACTCTGTGCAAAGACAATAAAGTTCTTATCTTGTTACAGAACCTTCACGTGCTAGAAATCTGTACCAGAAAAGTTCAGCTATCACCAGATGTTTGTACTAGCTTGGCTGTCAGTTTTTGGGTCTATGCACCTCTGTGAGCAGATGTTCTAGCACATGAAAACAAGCTAACCCCTGTCCTGCAGACATTTAACCACCAACCTCTCGGAAGTATGTGTGCACCTTAAAATAATAAACTATAATCCCTTAGATATTTGAGCTGGGCAAAGAAAAGCAGGGCCAGGGATCCCATTGACTGAAAGGCATTAGGTCATTTGTAATATACATAGGTCAGTGTGGTATTTCAGTTTGATACATTTTAGTCTCCCTTTTTAACATTTGCTCCCAATGCAATATTTTGTAAATTAGTTACTAAAAGCAATAATCTGTACTCTTGTGGGGGTTGATAAAATCAGTTTCACAAAGTCTTGATTATAAGACAAAAATATTTCTTTAGAATGTTCCAGGTCTTTTGGAAATGTCTTTTGAAGTGGTGTCTTGTAAAGTTAATGTTGATATGGCACACTATTTAACAAGAACATTTCAAACTGCCACCTTATGTCATAAGAGTTGCTGACATCTTCTCAAGGCTGAGTGAAAGCTTTTATCCTCAAACCATCAGAATGATCAACCGATCCAATCCAGTCCCTGACCACAGCCTAATCCACTTCATCATTCTTCACTCTGCAATGCCCCCTTCACACACATACACGTAGATGCACACACATCCTCCACACTGCATATTGTTGTGACTTTTAACTTTGGCATTGGAAGGCCTCTGGACTGATCTATAACTACTGTGGAGCGGTTGATGTCCAGTTGTAAAGTTGTGAATCGGTTGATTGGAGCTCTGCTACTAAATATGGCCACTCCAGTCTTGCGAAACTCCCGCTCGCACTTAACATGTTTGCTAGCAACAACAACATAACAGTATGGCTGACAGTACCGGTGTTCCAGTTTAACTTGTGGTCCAGTTTAACTGCCGATGCTTGCTGTATTTATGCTCCAGATGTTCCATTCGCAGATTCGTCACGACCAAACCTGTCTGTGTGTGACGATAAAGATACAACATGAAGAAGAAGTAATGCAAACATCACTCATTAATAAAGTCTATATCCATGTCAGTATCATCTACAGACAGCAAAACGAAACGTGCTGACCAAAATAAAAAGCACATATTTTTCAAGTTTGGTGGCAGGACTCAAAACCACGTAGTCCAGCAGTAAAAATACGAGTTCGGCATTCTACGCATTGTTCTACGATCAGCTCGATTAGGGTCCCTTTTCATTCATATTTTCCATTCTATCAGGTGTTTAACCCCTGGTGATTATTCAGGAAACACCCCTGGAGGGGTATACTACAAAGCAAGTTTGACATAGCCAGTCTTTCTTTGTGTAAGCTGTCTTTACAAAAATCAAAGCTCCAGCCAGAGATCACAGGTATCACGAAGGTTGTTATCCACTCTCTTTGTCAACTCAGACTTTCTGCTTCAGGCGCATGTGCATTCACATAAAAAAGGACCTTTAACGCTTCATGTGACTCCTCTTCTGCACAAAATGAAACAATTGTGTCCAGCTGCTTCAGTCAACTCGTTATTTTAATGGAGAACAATGTGGAATATAAAAAAATATGATGGTAAAAAGCACCGCTATTGCAAATGGTGCAAGACAGAAATGCTGGTAGAAAACTGTTAAATGTGTTTATATATAATATTTTATCGATGCAGATGCAGTTATTTCCAACTGACAGCTGCACATTACAGTTAAACTTTAAACTTAATTTAATTTAAACCTGATCATGTATTGACTTGCATTTAGGTCTGACACTGTCCCATAATGCAGGAAATCGCTTTCATTTTTGGCTAAATCAAAGTGAAATGAATGTCACTGATGAAATATTCTCTGTAATAATTACCAGTAGAATAATTCTGTGTTTTATCAGCTGCAGTACCATCAGAGTGAACAGACTTGACAGCAAATCAGAGCCAAACATAAAAACATATTTATGTGATTTCTGCATCACCAAGTAAATACATCTTTAGACTATGGGAAGAAAACGTCTAGTTCCCATAGCAACGCAACATTTACAGTGTGCGATACTGTGACTACACGGCTTCATTCAGTGAGGCACAACTCAGCATGTTTGCAAATAAACACATTCCTTCAGCTGAGAATCTGTATCGCTCATAAATGATAGTCAGTAAACGATTTGGTAAAAGGGAGACGCTTCTTCCATCTGATTTAAATCCAAAACTCTGAACATAACCTGCTCCCGACCAGGTTAGCTCCACAGCATCAGTTACCATGGAGATCGAGCAGGTTAAAAGAGAGACAGACCTTCGGGACACTGAAAACTCTGACTTTAAACTCAACATACCTCGATAGTCCCCTAATCTCGCTTCGTAGTATAGCCTTCTGATCAACTGGTTATTAGTCACAAGTTAACACAGACACATGCTGCCTGTTTCATAATGAGACACAAAACTAATTATTGTCTGACCAAGCAAAACCCACAATATAGAAGCATGTTGTGTTGTGTGTAGGGCTGTATCCGAATATCCGAATATTCGGTCATTGTGGTGGTATCCACATAGACATTTTGATATCTTGAGATTTTCACTGACTAAACAGTTTAAATATAGTTTCAATATACTTTTACAAACTCCTTCCAAACTCTTCTCCTTTGCCTGGGAAACCTCAACCCATTCTTTTAAAACGACCAGTCTAAACATCTATACCACCACTGTATTCATTTTTTTTCATGTTTTGGGAGTGTCTGATCAAAAAAATGAGGCAAACTTTCAAAAAAAAAAATTGCAATTCAACTCACGTCACCCACCTGCTTCACACCATTGTTTCTACCTGTCCTCTGGACTCCAGCTCCCGTCTCCATTTCTCCAATCTTTTTTATCCTTTGCTGCACTTTATTTGTTTTTCATGGTTTGAGATCATACAAATTAGTTCAATTTGTACATGAATTCAGTTTAAACATATTTTCCATTTTTGTCATTTGTTTAGCTCAAAATCCCACAACAACAATTACAGACATTTACTTGAATTATGGTCGGTATCATTTGACAAGAACTTGATCCATAAAATAAGCAATTGCATTTGTATTCTACAGAGCCCCTAAAGGGACATTGGCATTTGTATTTTTTTTTAATGTGGTTTCTCGTGCGCACGCAAAACTATCTCATGAGCACGAGACATTTCTGGTGGGAAATTGAACAAGCTTTAGAGACTGTACCAGGTGTAAAATTAGTTCTTGACCCTAAACTGTTTATTCTAGGTTTATGTCCTGATAGAAATCATATGTCTAGAAAAATAATCACTGCCCTGGATTTGTGTTTACTGTTTGCAAAAAGAGTCATAACACTCTCATGGAGAAATACTATTAAACCAAAATTCATTAATTGGATCAAGGAAATGTCCACAACTTTACAGATGGAGAAGACTACTTACATTATAAAGGGGGAACTATCACTATTTCAAAACATTTGGGTTCCTTTTATGGAATATGTGGAGAGTGTTGATAAAATAGAGAGACCTTTGTTGTTTTGGTTATTGTTGCTTTGTTGTTTTCTTTTCTTTATTTGATTTAGTCAGGTCATATGTTTGTACTTTCACCTAAGTGTTGCTCTATGTTATCTCATAAATACCTGGCTTGTTAGGAAGGACTTGAATGCTGGACAATAATTTAGCTGCCCTTGATGTTTCCTTTGATGTGAGAGCACTCTCCACATTTCTGTATATCATTGGAAGCATTTTAAAAACTCAATAAAGATAATGTGGGAGAGTACACACACGATCATGCCTTCTTTCACTCGGTTTTGTCATTTGCGCTCTCACAGATCTCCATTCTGTACACTACACATTCGCACTACATGCTCGCTGTGTCTTTCTCGCTCGCGCACAACATTGATGATCTGTTCAAGCTCAACTCTGCCTGCACGTCTGTTCAATTTGGCACAGTGTTACGAATGTGCCACAAAACCAGCCAATCACAGCCTTGCACAGGGTACTTCTGTGTGGCTGACCCTACCTAAATCAGGTGGCTATTTTGGCCGCCTCTCAGAAGCGCTGTAAAAAGTGACAACAAAATAAACTGGGCTGGTGCGATTGATGCTGTGTTACAATACATTTTCGTTTTTTTTTTTAAATTATTGTATTAAATATGACAAAGACTATTTTGGTCAGCGAGTTAAAGTGCTGTCGCGTTGTTAAATCCACATTTCTGGATTTTAAATGATAGATAACGTTTTTCTGTTCATCCTTAAAGTAGCTCAGGCTCGTCAAGCAATGTCCTTAGAACCTGAATAGCAACATGAAAATGGTGCAGCACGGCACAGTAGTTGGTATTACAGCAACTTAGCGTTTACAGCTTTGTTGTACTCCAACAAGTGCTTTTGCTTCAAATGGTGAAATAAGTTTGCTGTGTTTCTTCCCTTCCCGGTCCACTTGCATGTTTTGCAAAAAATGGTGCTCTGCTGTGTATCTGATGGGCGAAAACCAAACCAGTTCCACACCGTGGAGGTTGGACCTTTTGGCATACCAATTCTAGTTCATCTGTGTTGGTCGATGCACTGTATTCGCCCTCCTCCTCGGTCGCCGACATGCCTCTCGCACCATGTGCATTCGACCGGATGAAAACAACGGCAAATTTCATCGCGATATTTCAGTTTCATATAATCCCCTAACATTACACCATTATTACCATGCACAGTATGATATAGCCCATCCCTAGTCCAGAGTGTGAGCTATTTGAAAAAGCCTTACACTGCATTAAATGTAATAATGCATCAAAATCAGTGTTGTTCACACAATCGTTCACACATGCCAGATTATGATCACTGAAAAAGCTGAAAAAGTAACTCACTCCTCACTGTTATACTTAAGAAGACTGGTGATAAACCTCAGCTTATTTTGAATGCTGTAGATCTATTCAAGCGATTTCATCACATCAGCTATCGGCAGTTGTGCCATTTTGCTTTTTGATAACTGCATGTATGTATGTCGTACACTTTATATATATATATATATACTTTTTTTTTTTTTAGAGTTATTATAAATAAAAATATTTTTTCTCATCAATCTTAATTTCTGGGATTCTTTATGGTCAGGCTAACAAAAAATTACTTGTTTTCCCGCGATCCAAGTACAAAACCCGTGGTGACTGTGCTTTTCGAGCTCTTGCACCAAAACTGTGGAATGCTCTTCCTCTACAGCAGTGGTCCCCAACCTTTTTTGTGCCACAGACCAGTTTAATGTCAGACAATATTTTCACCTTTTGCCTTTAAGGTGTTGCGGATAAATACAACAAAATAAAATGATATGAATGATGAAAAACTGTGGTATTTTGTAAATATAATAATAAACGTGAATCCACTGTGTACTCATGTGCAACTGTATTAGCAGCGTCCTCGTAACATCGTGCCAACAACATAACATAAGTAACGTAGCAACATCCTCTCTCACTCCTAAGGCTCTCTGGTCGCTATGGTAACGTTTAAACATGCCTTCAAAATAAGATACATTACAAAAACAAGTGCATGAAAATACAACTCATCATAGCGCTCAATCAATGGGAGCCCTGAGCTTGTTTCTCTGCAACGAGACGGTCCCATCTAGGGGTAATGGGAGACAATGACACCTGAAGTGTGTTGCTTATGTCCAGTCTACTCTGTAATTTTGTTTTCGTTGCTGTCACCACAGAAAACCATGCTTCTTCACCAATACTGAATGGCTTTTTACCCTGAGCAATACGGTTAGCCACCAAGTATGATGCTTTCAGTGCACTTGCATTTGTTGAAGTGGTGGTCCTCAGTAATTGCTTCTGTCCTTCTTGTGTCTACTTTTTCTTTCAAAATACTCCAAAGACTTGTCTTTTAATGCAGGGTGCTTGGCGAAGCAGTTTTGAAGGCTCCATTGCCTCATTAAAGAGCTGGTCGCCGCATATTATGCAGAGTGGGCTTGGTGTGTGGGAATCACCTGTCGCAGTAAATCCATATTTTAAGTAGGACTTCTGGTATTGTCTGTTAAATGCAGCTTTCTTTCCAAAGACGTCCATTTGTTTTCTCATTTTGCTAGCTTGTGGGTTTATTTTTAGCGCTGCTTGTCACATGACTTAGACAACCATCTTGACTGGTGTCAAGAGTGAGTCATAGACAGACTTAACGAAGAGAATCCGGTCATTTTTCAATTTAAAAAAACGTTCAGACTCAGATGATAAATACAACGGAAATAATGTAAGTTATTTATTCTTTCTGTGTGGCCCGGAACCAAATGACCCACGGACTGGTACTGGTCCGCGGCCCGGGGGTTGGGGGCTGCTGCTCTACAGCTGAAATCAGTCGACTCCTGTGAAACTTTTATGAGGCATCTGAAAACGTTTTTGTTTCAGACAGGCTTTTGAGTGACCTGTAGCTGCTTTTTATTTTATTTTATTTTATTGTTGCACTGTATTTTAGCTGTTGCTCCCCTGTTTTAACAATTTATTACCTTTATCATTATTGTTTTATTCTTGTTTTATTATTGTTGTAAAGCACTTTGTGATTTTTTATCTGTGATAGGTGCTATGTAAATAAATTTCACTTACTTACTTAATCAATTTTAATGGCTTCGTTATTATTAACCAGAGCACGACCCTCTTTAATTACAGTCTTCTCTAAAAAGAACGCTTCTTAAAATAGTAGACAGCACCAGAGAACAATAGATAGTATTGCATGGTTTTAACTTAAAACTCTATAATAGAACTATAAAGGAGCAGCAGTGGTAGTGGTTAGTGCTGTCACCTCACAGCTCAAATGTCCTGGGTTCAAATGTTCTCCCTGTACTTGCATGGGTCTCTCCAGGTTCTCCGGCTCCTTCCAATAGTCTAAAGACATGGGACATAAGACATACTTAGATTTATTGATTATTCTAAATTGTTTGTAGGAGTGAATGTGAGTTTGCTTGTCTGTCTTAAAGTGTAGCCCTGTGATAGACTGGTGACCTGTTCAGGTGAATCTGCCTTCAGCCTGAGTCAGCTGGGATAGACTGCAGCGCCTCCATGACTCTACAGGGGATAAAGCAGTGTATAGATAATGGATGGATGGATGGATGGATGGATGGATGGATGGATGGATGGAACTGTGAAGTTTTTTTTCCACGTGCCATGCTGAGTTTTCAGTGGAAAGGGAGCTACATCAGACTTCTAAAGTCACGACACAACATACTGTAGTTGACTTACTTACAAGGAATCACAAGCATGTGATGGTGCATGTACTTGTATGAATGTTTTTGAATATGTATGGCACAGAATCAGATTCTGTGTCAGTGTTGTAGTGGTGGATGGCAAGTGTGTAGAGTGTTGCCTCTGCATAACCCGCAATCCCATACCTGTGTAGCCCAAAACGTGCTCATGCAGGACTCTAATGCAAAGGCAGTAGTGTTCATGTGTGGAGTATGTAGTGACCTACTGTGTATGTATGGAATATGGTCCTTCTAGTGGACTTTAAGTGGACTAGAAAGTAGTATCAGGCTCAGTTCATGCTTTCTACATCTGTGTGTGTGGAGGGGATGCAGACTTTGAAAGCAGACGTGCACAAAATTCTATTCATATAATAGGTACACATCGATCTGTTACGCATACAGTCATATTTCCTCGTCAAACCCAGAAAAACTCACAGGGTTCATGTGGATGTTTCTCAAAAGTTGGCTGTAGCTTAGTACTTTCTACAGGATGTAGCAAATAGCTACAGATTGGACTGTAGCACTGGGTCAGTGATTACTGTGACAACCACAGCAGGCGGACTCACCTAAGTGTAGAATTTGAAACTTCTTACTGTGATTAGGCATGTACAAATCAAAGCACCTCCAAAGTCTGACAGGGACTACTTCAATTACAAATCTTTTTATGCTAAATTATAAAGGTGTGTATGAGTCCATCAATGGTGCCCAAAGAACTAAAGTCTACAGAAAACCCGTGCTATGCTCACCCACGGTACTCAGCACACCTCATGAATAATCTGTAACTAACTGTAACATTTAGCAAGCCTTTTAGAAACATCCACAAGAGCCTTGTACAATATGTGACAGATCGATGTGTACCTATTGCAATATGAATTAAACCAGGTGGGCCTAATAACACTAACTACTTGTCCAGAGCTGTCTATGTACACTGCAAGGTTTCATATGCTAGAACAGCCAGCCTGTGTGAGGCATGTCTGAAGCACAACTCTAGTGTCAGTGCAGCAATACATTATTAATTGTGCCTGCATGGAGCTTATTAGTTTTAGCTGTCCCGGTTTGGTTGTAAATCTTTTTTTTGTTTCCACAGATTTTGCTGGAAGGTCGACCTCAACATGGCTCTGGGAACAGTGTGGCCATCTTTGAAATTCACATTGTTCCTGGTTACTGCATAGGTGGGTCAAGTGAGATATTTTACCTCTGAACTTCTGTATGTCTGATTTGAAGCAGCTTTATTCTTGCAAAATACATGTGATTGGGTAAATAATAATGTCCATGTTTTTGTTCCTGTTATCAGAGTGTAATTTTGAGGAACATCACCTGTGTGGCTACAGTAATAGCTGGAACCCAAATGTCAACTGGTATGTCGGGGGGAGTGTGGCTAGAGAGTCTAACCTGCTTGAAAATCAAACCAGCAATAACCAGAGAGGTACACACACACACACACACACACACAGAGTTCCATCCATTATCTATACACCGCTTAATCCTCATTAGGGTCGCGGGGGGGCTGGAGTCTATCCCAGCCGACTTAGGGCGAAGGCAGGGGACACCCTGGACAGGTCACCAGTCCATCGCAGGGCCACACTTAGAGACAGACAACCAAGCACACTCACATTCACACCTACGGACAATTTAGAATCATCAATTAACCTCAACATGTTTTTGGACTGTGTGGGAGGAAGCTGGAGAACCCGGAGAGAACCCACGCAGAAAGATTCCGGTGCCCCCACCGGGAAGCGAACCGGCAACCTTCTTGCTGCAAGGCAACAGTGCTACCAACTGCGCCACAGCCCACACACAGAGTTTTGTTTCCATATTTGCTGAGCATAGGCATCAGCAAATATCATTTTACTAGGCCCTAAACTGATTTATTGATGGGTCATTCTGTCTCAATTCATCAAATGCCCCACACCCAACCATCTTCAATTTGACAGATTTTTTATTTTCTTTTAATGCTGAATATTTATGGAATTGACCAATATTCACCATAAAAAATTGAAGATGGTCAGGTGTAAACTTTGGTGAATTGAGGTGCAATGACCCAGACAGTAATGAGAGAGAGCGATAACTGATATTTAAAACTGATATATTTGTTGTAAAAATGTAAATGTTAATATAAACATTTTTGAATAACTCCAACACAAAGTTCTGCTGAAATGGCTTTGATTATATTTTACATCTGTTGAATTAAAAGAGAACTTCTCAACATTTATCCTTCAGTGTTGATTGACTATAACTTGTGATGTGCAACCAATCAGGGAGAGCCGTGGGTGGGACATCGCACAAGAAGAGAGTTACTACAGCGAGAGGCGGCTGCATCAAAGCAATAGTAGCAGAGTTTTTAATTAAATAATGTTATCTGTAATTGGATTATCTGTAATTTTGGGACTGTTACACTTGTCAGTGTATCATGTTCTCTGCCTCAGAGAACATGATACACTGACAAGGACTGAAGCATTTTTCCCAATAAGTTCTGATATAGCAATCGTCACATGACTCGTCATGAGTTGATGATTCTGGATGCAGAATCTGAAAAGTGTACATACCAGTAAAATGAGCTGTGACATTGTTTTGTTAAATTGAAGCCCTGCATAGTTGGACTTCTGTGGCCTGTGGTCATCCATCTCTGCTTTGTATGTCAAGTCAAGCCAGCATTACTCACACAGCACATTTTAAACAACAGATGTTGAGCTAAAGTACTTTCCAACACATAAATGATGTGTATGTTGCAAATTTGCCTGACTAATTTAAATATTCCCTTTCAGCGAGCACATTAGTGACAATGGAGAGGATGAACTCCCTTTTAGAGGAAGAGACTTCCAGCAGAGCCAGGCTCAGGGCAGGTGACTGTCGACTTTGACCAGATGGAAAGAGGGCAGTGGGTAGAGAGAAAAGGATAACAGAACAAACAGGCAGCAAACAAGAGAACATAAACACTGAGCGACTTGTTGAGGCCTGCAGATCAAAAATGTGCAGTTTGGGAGTCAGATATGCCAGCAGAGATGTGAAAGAAGAGAGAGGGCAAAGAAATCAAAGTCAGTCAGTCATGGAAAAAATTATTAGACCACCTTTGTTTTCTTCAATTTCTTGTTCATTTTTATGCCCGATACCACTAAAGGTAAATTACCTGAAGAATACAATGAACACGACAAAAAATGCAGCTGATTACAAACTACTTTGGCGTATTTGACATGCTTCAGCATGATTGTATTCCCAGGGTATATAAGAGGCCATTTCATGTCATAAGCAGCACTGCACATGAAAAAGCCTAGAGTGGTTTCCTGCTTACATTCAAGCCGTAGCACAACTAAGAAGTTGTCAGCTCTCACATAATGCCTAAAACAAAAGAATTATGTGAAGCCACAAAGGCAGCCATCTTGGCACTGCTGGAAATTGGCATGAGTGAGAGACAGGTAGCGGGGCAAGAGAAGAGTTCTTAACAGGCTTAATCTGAGACACATGGAACGTGGGGTGAATCTTCATGGAAGCGTAAGGTGAACTGCATTAGGAATTACAATTTTCTCAATAGCTAAAGGACCAATAAACCATGGGGCCTGCTTCTTAGACTTAACCTTTTGAGGTGGGTCCTTCGTTTTTAGCCCAACCTCTTGTCCGACAGTGTCGTCAGGGGCCAGGGAATGGCAACGGTTGGCCTGGTGCTCCATTTTTTGAGTGGCCCGAAGAAGCACAGTGCAAGCCTTCTTCCAGGTCCTTTCACACTGACGGATGAAGGTTTGCACGGAGGGCACGGAGGGCACTGAGATCTCCTGTTCTTGAGACGGAAAGAGAGGAGGTTGATAGCCCAGAGAACATAGAAAAGGGGATAGACCAGAGGATGAGTTGGTTAAAGAGTTCTGAGCATACTCCACCCAGAATAACTGATCACTCTAGGCAAAGGGGTTCTCTGAAATGAGGCAACGGAGAAAAGTCTGATGTTAGACTCACTGTAGCTCCTAAGGTAGAACAGAAGGATTTCCAAACTTCTGAGGTAAATTGGGGACCCCGATCTGAGACTGTGTCTGCAGGGATTCCGTACAGCCGGAACACATGGTACAAGATCTGCAGTCTCTTTGGCTGAGGTGAGCTTCGGAAGAGCAACAAAGTGAGCAGCCTTAGAAAAATGGTCCACAATAGTGAGAATAGTGGAATTACCATGAAAGTTTGGAAGTCCAGTCACGAAATCAACTGCGATATGGGTTGAGGGCTGTGCAGGGACCGGCAGTGGCTGTAGTAGGATTTGAGGTTTTGTTCCGAGCGCAGGTGGGGCAAATGGCGACGAACTCCCGGGTGTCCTGTTGTAAAGTTGGCCACCAAATCTTCTGTTTTAGAACAACCAAGGTCCGTGAGACACCGGGATGGCAGGGAAGGCGGGAGACATGAGCCCACTGGAGGACCAGGGAACAGACTGGGTCTGGAACAAACAGAGCATTAGGCAGGCCTTTCCTGGGTCAGGATGTAATACTTGTGTTTGGCGGACTTGATTTTCCAGCTCCCATGTCAGAGAGGCTATCAGACAGGTCTTGAGCAGAATTGGTTCAAGGTCACTGGAAGGCTCTTCGTAGGGAAACTGGTGAGAGAGCACATTAGGCTTGATAGGTAGGGCAACGTGAAGCGGAATCTTCGAAAAATTAAAGTCCAGCGGGCCTGCCGGGAATTCAGTCTCTTTGTCAAACGGACATACTCAAGGTTCATATGGTCTGTCCAAACTATGAAGGGTTGTTCTGCTCCTTCCATCCAGTGTCGCCATTCCTCCAAGGCAAGCTTCACTGCCAGCAGTTCCAGGTTTCCTACGTCATAGTTACATTCTGCTGGAGACGGGCGATGAGAAAAGAAGGCGCAGAGTGCAGCTTGTTGTCTGCAGGGGATCTCTGGAAGAGCACTGCTCCTACTCCTGCATCAGAGGCATCCACTGCAACCACAAACTGTTGCTGGGGATCAGGCTGGATCAGGATAGGAGCAATGGTGAATTGCTCCTTCAGGGACGGGAGAGTCTGGTTGGCTTCATGAGACCACTGGAAGGGGCGAGCTGTGGACGTCAGGGCAGTGAGTGGGGCAGCGACTTTGCTGTAGTTGCAGAGAACCAGCGATAAAAATTTGCAAAGCCAAGGAAATGCTGCAACTGTTTCCTGGTCTCAGGTTGAGGCCATTCAGAAACAGCAATCAGTTTTAGGACATACTCTGCCAGATGATATAACCCAAGAATGAGACGGTGGAGGCATGGAACTTACATTTTTCAGCCTTTAAGAGGCGATTTTTCAGGAGGCGTTCCAAAACTAGACGGACATGCTGGATGTGCTCCTTTTGGCTCCTGGAGTAGATCAGAATGTCGTCAAGGTAGACAAAAAAAAAAGATTAATCATGTTGTGGAGCACATCATTAATCAGATTCTGAAAGACAGCAAGGGCGTTTGTGAGTCCAAAAGACATGACTAAATACTGAAAATGACCCAGAGGGATGTTGAAAGCAGTGTTCCACTCATTACCTTGTTTGATGCGAATGAGATGGTATGCATTCCTTAAGACCAGCTTGGCAAAGACCATGCCCCCATGCAGAGAAGTAAAGGCAGAACAAATCAAAGGGAGAGGGTAAGTGTTTTTTTAACCATGATATCGTTCAGTCCATGGAAGTTGATACACAGCCGGAGGGTCTTATCCCTCTTGTCAACAAGATAACAACCCCCACAGGTGACGAGGAGGGTCTAATGATTTCAGCTGCGAGGGAGTCTTTAATGTACATCTCCATAGCAACCTGTTCAGGTTTTGACAGATTATACAAACAGCTGCTAGGAAGGGTGGCTCTCGGCAGCAACTCAACAGCGCAGTCATAGGGACTGTGAGGGGGCAAGGATGAAGCGTCTTCTTTGCTAAAAACTGGAGCCAGGTCATGATACACGTCTGGAACTTTAGACAAGTCTGTGGGTCTGGGGGTTGGTTTAGGAACCTCAGAGGCTGGAGTTAAAGCCAAGTGGAGGCAGCTAGCATGACAGAGGGCACTCCAGGATTTCACCTCACCCCTACACCAATCAATCATGGGATTGTGTCTTACCAACCATAGGTGGCCTACAACTGCAGGGGGATTAGAGCATTCAATTAAATAAAAAGATAGGGACTCATGATGGTTACCTGCCAGCACAAGATTTACCGGAACCGTCTTCCTCTGGACCATGGCTCGGGACAGGCCATTCAGTGCATGAGCCTCCAGAGGTGTCTCCAGGGGAACTGTGGGTATCCGAATATGCCGAGCTAGCTCACTGTCCAGAAAATTCTCTTAGGCCCCAGAGTCAACCAACACAGAAACCAGAACAGATTGGGCCTGAAAACAGAGTGAAGCAGCTAGCTACAGCCGTTGGAGGGAGGTTGTTGAGGTCCGGCTCACCTGTATTCCCCCTGTTACGGGTGAGCCAGATCTTTTGCTGACTTCTTAGGGCAGGAAAAGATGTAGTGTCCTGCTGCTCCGCAGTAGAATCAAGAATTGGTTGCTCTTCTCTGGTCCCTCTCCTGCTGCGTAAGCCGAGCCCTGCCAATCTGCATGGGTTCTGGATCGGACTCCATTGATGGAGTGACTAAGGGTTGCACAGGAATTGGACTGGTCTGCCGAACCAAATGCTGGGAGTGTTCGCGACATCTCTCTGTCAGGAGGTTGTCCAGGTGGATGGCTGGAGAGGTTAGAGCGTCCAGATTTGATACCTCGTCTCTAATTAAGGTTTCAGTCAGTCCCTTGTAAAATGCTCCTTGTCCTTCCCCCTGCTCTCTGCTGCCAAGGTCTGGAAGTCCACTGAGTATTCTGCCACACTTGGTGTCCCTTGTCACAGGGACATCGGGTGAGTTGCGGCGTCCTGTCCACAAAACGGTCGGTCAAAAACTTTCTTCATTTCTGCCACAACGAGAGAGTATGAAGCACAAATGTCATTCTGTTTTTCCCACATAGCAGTGCTCCAATCTCTTGCTGAGCCCCTCAACAGTCCGATCAAATAAGCTATCTTAGTTTTCGCGCTAGCATATGATAATGGCTGGAGATTTTTTTAAAAAACTAGTTTAACTTGCGTTAGAAATGCTTGACAAGGACCAAAATCCCCAACGTAACGTTCTGGGACTGGAACCAAAGGTTCACAGATTACCTGTTCTGAGGTCAGTGGCGTGCCAGTGGCTACTATGCTAGGAATAGTAGCGGTAGCTAGGGGGTTGCTAGGAGGAGGAAGAAACTGTGACGTAAAAGTAGTAAATTTACCTGTTAGCTGGGAGACTTCCTTGATTAGCAGGTATGTACTCTCCATAAAATTTTTGATTAACTCGTCATGTCGACCGAGTAAAGCTCCATGACTATCCATAACCTGTTGGAAAACTTGTACTGCACACAGAGCGTCAGCACCGGTCATGTTGTCCGCTGAGTTCATCATGGCTGGTCGGTACTGTCACGGATCAGGTTCAGCGACTCAAACGCGGACAAAGACTCGGCAGACGAGAGTGTGCACTCAAAAGAGGAATTATTCACAATAAATAAGGTTTTACAGGATTTCAGAATCATGAACTACAAAATCAAAACAACCAGTGCTGTCTAGTGGGCTTGCGGGAAAACTTGGGAGAATCAATAAACAGAACTAATCTAGCAATTACACTACACAAAAACTATAAATCACGTCTTAAACAACTACAGGCTTGCTAAAAACACTAAGCAAGAGATCAAAAAACTTACTGACAGACTGGGCAGGAAATCTGTGGGAGGACTCCAGAGATCAGTTGTGTGGCAGTGTAGCATGTCCAAGAAAGAAGCCGGTCCAGGCAGGCATTTCTGTGGTAGGAGATGAATGTAGATAATCCAGATGAGATGATTGGAAGACAGAATCAGATGATTAATAACCAGTGAGGTCTTCAGGCAGCGGAGAGGGTCAGAATGGAGGTAGTTTTATGGACTGGCATCGAGTTGTGGTCTGTTAGTGTCTTATATGTAAAGTGCAGAATGACCAATGAGGAGCCCACTCCCCACGGCAGCTGAAAATTATCTGGTGATTGCAGATAAGCTACACCTGCCCTCCACCTGCATGCACACACTGTCTGGAGAAAGGAGGTTAGGAGGAGGAGGGTGAGATACTGTCACTAGATGGAGCCAGAGGTGGAAGGCATGACATAGGAACCTTAAAAATGAATGGGCACTGTCAAGAAGTGTGACTTGTTCGGCAAGGACAGTTGGAAATCGACTTCTTGAAGCTGGTTGGAAGTCACACAGGGCACGGAAGAAGCCCTTCATCAAAGAAAGGCAGAGGAAAGCCTGGTTACTCTTTGCTGGGATTGGACTGTTGATGATTGGGCTAAGGTTCTCTTCAGTGATTAATCCAATTTTCAGTTGATGCCCACTCCAGCCAGCTTAATGGTTAGGAGGAAGCCTGGAGAAGCCTACAAACCAGGCCGTCTTGCCCCTACTGTAAAACATGGGGGTGGATCAGTGTTGATCTAGGCTTGTTTCAGTATGGGTGGAACAGGGCAAATGCAATGGCGTGAAGGGCAAATGAACCAGGTCATGTACAAGGCTACTCTTGAAAACTGTCTACTTCCATCAGCTGGAAAACTCTCTCCAGCCTCCAATGACTGGATTTTCCAACAACACACTGCCCCGTTGCCACACAGCGAGGTCAGTTAAAGCCTGGATGGAGTACCAGAACATTGGAACCATGCCTTGGCCTGCTCAATCACCAGATCTAAATCCAATTGAAAACCTGTGAAAAATCAAATGCAAAATGGAGAAGCACAAGCCCAAAAACAAAGAAAATTTGTTTGAATTTGTGCAACAGGATTGTAATGTCAGAACAATGTCTGAAGCTGGTGGAGAACATGCCAAGATGCATGGCTGCAGTCATCAAAAACAATGGTTGTACAATCAAGTACTAACTCCTGTGTGTATCATGTGACTAAAACAGAAAAGTAAACATGTAATGCCTAAAAGCACTGTTTTTGGCAGTGCAAAGCCATAGCTATTGATGTAAAAACTGAAAATAAGAAAGGGATTTTGTTTAATGGTCAAAAAATTATTATCAAGAAAACTGTCACAACGAGTCAAGGACGTGAACCCAAATGCAAGACTCAGAAACTTTGGTTCAAAGTTCTAACAGATTTATTTAAAGACAAAGTATCAACTTAAAATCTCTGCAAAAACGATAAACACAAAATGTCACTCAAGTGAGGAAAAATATCAAAACCAAAAATCACTCTTACGAGGAAACAAGTAACTTGGAGAATCAAAAAGCAAAACCTTAATTTGGCAGGATCATAATATACAAAGTAGCAACAAAACATTAACAGGATCAAGGCAATGCAAAGTAGCAAATAAAACGTTAACAAGACTGCGGAAAAACAAGGAAGGAAAACAAAACCTGAACTTGGCAAAACTCGTGGCGTGGATGGCTAGGACGACTGATCTGGTACATGGAACAAGACGAACTGGCACAGGACAAAGGGAGACGCAGACTATTTATACACACAAGGGGCAACGAGGAACAGGTGGAGAACATTAGGGCGAGGTAGACAATCAGACACAGGGAACACAGGAGGAAGGGCAAGTCACCTAACACAGAAGGGAAAAAGATTTTCAAAATAAAACTCACAAGACAAAAACCTAACAACGGGTTCGAGACATGACAAAAACCATGGAAAGTGGCTAGATATCAGGTCTTAAATCAAACTCTTGTGAGCTATTTTTGTTGTTATCATTATATTTGTCCAAACAAATATATCTTTAGTGGTACCAGGCATTAAATGAACAAGAAATTGAAGAAAACAAGGGTGGTCTAATAATTTTTCCATGACTGTATATAACCTGCAGCAGTGCATATAAATGCATGAAGTGTGTCTTAAAACAAGAAAATGAAAACAATAGCCAAGGATAGAGCATGTTGGCTTAAATGGTACAGGTAAAACTATATTACTAAAGTCAAAAGACAGGTAAAAGATTAAGAGAGGAAACTGAGTAAAAAAAAAAAAAGGGAGGGGCGGGGGCGCAATCATTGCTGTTTGTTTGTTTATTGCAGGCAATAAACAAACAAAAAAGAAGAGTGGACATGACCAGGGCAGCCTTAGGAGGAAAAGCAAGAGATAAAAGATGAGATTGTGAATTTAAAGTGAAGTTGCTAATTGTAGGCCAGGATTTAAAGATATAATGTTGAGCGGGACACCTGGGATCTTTCTGTGTGGATTCTCCATGGGTTCTCTCTGGGTTCTCCAGCTTCCTCCCATAGTCCAAAGACATGCTGAGGTTAATTGGTTATTCTAAATTGTCCATAGGTGTGAATGTGAGTGTGCTTGGTTGTCTGTCTCTAAGTGTAGCCCTGCGATACACTGGTGACCTGTCCAGGGTGTACCCTGCCTTCACCCTGAGTCAGCTGGGATAGACTCCAGCCCCCCACGACCCTCGTGAGGATTAAGATGTGTAGATAATGGATGGATGGATGTGGAATGGGAAACTTTTTCATAGCCTTGCCATAACTGAAAAAGCCCCATCACCTCTGAATACAATGGCATAGTCATGCTGTTTGCAGCCCAAAAACAGTTGATTAATCTCCAACACTGATGGAGGTGTGTGTGAATCACTGTATGAGTCAAAAATCCTTTTCAAAATGTCTCATAACCCTTGTAAAACTGTGCATATGCTATGAATGTGAACATGTCAGACGTTACTTCAGCTCATCTTTGTCTTACGCTGCTCTAGGCCACTACATGTATGCAGACTCAGTGTATGCCAAACACTTCCAAGAGGTTGCCAAGCTGACCTCACCCATGACCACAGTGCCCATGGAAGGCTGCCTGTCCCTCTATTATCTCCGAGACCAGGAAAGAGGAAACATTTTTTCGGTTTTCACCAGAGACCAGCTGGGCCACTATGAGGAGATCTGGAGGCCAGAGGTGTATACTACAGCGGGCTGGACTCCGGTCAGCGTTGACATCAAGGCCCCACACCCCCTGGAGGTTAGTACTGCTACCAAGAAGCAGAGGGGGGCAATAGGGATGGGTACCGAGCCCCGGTATTAAACAAGCCCTCAGGCAAAATTTTTAAATACTGGAGGATCAATGTGTTCTGGCGCTACCAGTTCTGCTAATGGCACTTTAGAAAGTAAGAAGAACGTTGTGTTTCACAATCTATCTCATCACTGTAAGATGTGTCTGATGTATATGTGTCTATGAAGCACTTTTGCATCAAATCCAAAACAGACAGGTGTTATGTCTGTCAGACTGGTGTCTGAGGGGTGGAGTGGCTCTGTCACTTATCTGCAGCTCCGTGCAGCAAGCACAAAGAATGTCCAAAAGTATGATTACACCTCACGACAGCTGATGTAGAAAATGTTTGTTGCCACAAAAGTAACAAATCGCTCAAACACGGTCAATCTGTTGAAACATTCAGCAAAAGTTCATTACAGATGGAGAAACGTTTGACTGCTGAGCTTGTGGCTCATGCTAACGACGTATGTCTGCTAGAAGCCTGCACACAGACTTATTGACATTATACAAACATACATTAAGCGTTTAACTGTGACTGTGCATCACCTGAGCTGTGGTTCAGAGTTTTAGTTTCACTTTCAGAGCACAGAGCAGCAGGATTAAGTGGTTGGGTGGCTGCAGACAAACTGTCTTACTTTATATTCAGTGTTTCTCTGACTGAATGTTAGTGTTGCAGTGTTAGAAGAAGTACCTCAACTGTTTTGTTTTTGTTTTTTTTTTTTTTCATTAAAACTTTTTAAACCACACAGTAAAAATCAGTGGTGGGCCGTGCATTTTACTCCTAGGCTTTCAGTGGCAGCCTGCCTGAATCAAACCATCTCCTAACACTGTCATTATGACGCCACGGCTACAGAAACCATCAGTATGATGCAGGAAGGCAGTACAGCAGGACGTTGCATCGCAGACAGGTATCTCATGGAGCAAGAATGAATGCCATCAGTAAAGCAAGAAACCAGTTAAAACAATTCAACAAGTCTCCTTTCGCTGCAGCCACAGCTGCACCATGTACATCACATCTAACAGAAGCATCAATATCAGCCCAATAAAATGACAAAAATATATATTTTACTCACCATAACGTGATGATTTGAACACAAACTCCATCCTCCTTTCTTTCATCATAAACAGATCAGTCACTCTGTTGAGCAGCTAATCCGTGCATTTCACTTCCAACATTAGTCCTGTTTTATCGCCATGGAGGCTAATGCTGAAAGTCAGGTCTGTCCAGTCGTGTTTCTGGCATAAGTTTTAATTCACTTTAAGGCTGAGAATGTCCGCTTGCTTAACTTTAAAAAAAACCCCAAACAAACAAACAAAAAAAAAAAACAATACTTTTACAATAAAGTTTTAGCTTGTGCAATTCGCTATAGATACCAAACGCAAGCTTTGGCTAAGCTCTCTGACCATCCAATCAGAGAATGTGAAAGTGATGACATCATCGTAGGCCAGCTAGCTGGCCCTGGGATCCCCAACTCTAAATCTGATTGGTTAAAGCCACAGTTTCATTGCAATGCATTTTAAGCTACCTGTGCCTGCACTTTTGATTCTGAAGGCCTCAGGGCAGATTCCTGTGACCCTGGCAACACATGGTGGCTGAAATATGATTGGATTAAAAAAAAAAGAAGCTCTAATATATACACTGCTGGAAGCACCACAGCCCAGAGACACGCTATTAAATTGGGAATAATGTAAAAAGATTAATAGGAAAATAGGAAAATATTACAACGCAAGTCAGTGATTCTGATAGAGTTTAGGCCAGCAGAGAAGGCCTTGCTGGCCCTGACAGCCCACCACTGGTAAAAATACTGTCAGAGTCCTGCATTCATTTTATACTCTAAGGTGTAGAGTAAACCAGGTTTTATCGGTGCAATGTACTGACAGTTAATATCCGTTCAAGGTGAAGTTTTTAATTCTGATATAATGGTTGTCAGTTCATTGAAACAAACTGCAAAATGTTTTATTTTGTGAGTAGAACCTGGGACACTGTCCTCAGAGATCTGGTCATTCTCATCAACACATTAATGTCTATACACATTTTAACTGATATACAGTACATATGAGAAAATTAAGTGATTTTTAGTCTGGTCTTAATCTGTGTGTTTTTTTTTTCTTTAAAAGTAAACAAACAAAAACAATTGAAAAGGAAGATAATACAGTGAAAGTACCAGGTAGATAAGCAGTATCAGTAAAAGTAGTAGTACCGTTGTAATCTTAACAATACCCATCCCTACTAGGAGAGCATGCTGCTTTTGATCTGAAAAAAAAAAATCGTCATCATTTGATTAGTATAAAGTAGTAATAATTAGTATTTAACTCCTGCCGGTCTAAACAATAACAATGGAAACAGAAACGCAGTTGGGACTTGTGCCATGCTAAAAATGATATGGAAATGTTACTGCCTGACCTTGTAAGATTGTCATCATGACTTTGACAGAAAAGGGACCAGGGTACTTATTTAGACATGAGGCCGACATATTCAGATGCCATCAGATTAACGGAATAGAAAGCAGATTTTTAGAGAACGAGGCAAGCTTTCATTTTGGAAAAATAAGACATTTTAGGGGCAATGCCAATAGTCCACTCTTATCTCCTCTTTTTACATGGGCAAAGTGGTACTCAAAGCGTTCACACACATTCATACACCAGTGGCGACAGAGCTGCCTGCCATTGGGAGACCTTTGGGTTCAGTGTCTTGCCCAAGGACACTTCCACTGTGGAGGGGTGATCGCCAAGCTTGCGATCAGCGGACAACCACTCTACCACTTGAGCCACATACAGTGGGGAAAAGAAGTATTTGAACCCCTTGCGATTTTGCAAGTTCTCCCACTTAGAAATCATAGAGGGGTCTGAAACTTTCATCTTAGGTGCATGTCCACTGTGAGACACATAATCTAAAAAAAAAAATCCGGAAATCACAATGTATGATTTTTTAATAATTTATTTGCATGGTACTGCTGAAAATAAGTATTTGAACCCCTGTGCAAATCAATGTTAATATTTGGTACAGTAGCCTTTGTTTGCAATTACAGAGGTCAAACGTTTCCTGTAGTTTTTCACCAGGTTTGCACACACTGCAGCAGGGATTTTGGCCCATTCCTCCACACAGATCTTCTCTAGATCAGCCAGCTTTCTGGGCTGTTGCTGAGAAGCATGGAGTTTGAGCTCCCTCCAAAGATTTTCTATTGGGTTTAGGTCTGGAGACTGGGTAGGCCACTCCAGGACCTTGAAATGCTTCTTATGGAGCTACCCTTAGTTGCCCTGGCTGTGTGCTTTGGGTCATTGTCATGTTGGAAGACCCAGCCATGACCCATCTTCAATGCTCTGACTGAAGGAAGGAGGTTGTTCTCCAAAATCTCGCAATACATGGCCCCGGTCATCCTCTCCTTAATTCAGTGCAGTCGTCCTGTTCCATGTGCAGAAAAACACCCCCAAAGCATGATGCTTCCACCCGCATGCTTCACTGTAGGGATGGTGTTATTGGGATGGTACTCAGCATTCTTTTCCCTCCAAACACGGCGAGTGGAATTAAGACCAAAAAGTTCTAGTTTGGTCTCATCTGACCACATAACTTTCTATGAGTCCTCTGGATCATCCAAGTGGTCATGGGCAAAGACGGGCCTGGATGTGTGCTGCTTTAAGCAGGGGAACCTTCCGTGCCATGCATGACTTTAAGCCATGACGTCTTAGCGTATTACCCACAGTAACCTTGGAAACAGTGATGCCAGCTCTCTTCAGGTCATTGACCAGCTCCTCCCATGTAGGTGAGATCTTGCATGGAGCCCCAGTCCGAGGGAGATTGACAGTCATGTTTAGCTTCTTCCATTTTCTAATAATTGCTCCAACAGTTGATTTTTTTTCATCAAGCTGCTTGGCAATTGCCCTGTAGCCCTTTCCAGCCTTGTGGAGGTCTATAATTTTGTCTCTGGTGTCTTTGGACAGCTCTTTGGTCTTAGACATGTTAGAAGTTGGAGACTTGCTGATTGTGTGGGGTGGACAGCTGTCTTTATGCAGCTAATGACCTCAAACAGGTGTGTCTAATCTAGAATTATAAGTGGAGTGGAGGTGGACTTTCTAGAGGCGACTAACAGGTCTTTGAGGGCCTGAATTTTTGCTGATTGGCCGGAGTTCAAATACCTATTTGCAGCAGTAACATGCAAATAAATTATTAAAAAATCATACATTGTGATTTCCTGATTTTTTTTTTTTAGATTATGTCTCTCACAGTGGACATGCACCTATGATGAAAGTTTCAGACCCCTCCATGATTTCTAAGTGGGAGAACTTGCAAAATTGCAGGGGGTTCAAATACTTTTTTTCCCCACTGTATATTCTGATTTATAACTGGACTACAATTGTTGCACAATGGCTCAGTTAGTATAAAAAAAAAAATCAATAAACTCATAGCTGAGCCTGCTCTGATTACCCTAAACCCAATAATTAGTATATTTTCCTGGCATACCATGAAATGTTGCGGGACAAAACGCCTTTCCTTATCCTGTAGTATGAAATGAAGAATATCTGCCAGGTGGAAAGGGCACTTTAGTTATGGCATTAAATATTAAATAATCCTTTCTTACTTTTTAGCATTATTTTTCTTTCTTTGAATAGTTTTATAATGTTCAGTATGCAATCTTACGTCTAATGTACCCCTTTAGGCCATGTGGAGTAATTCCTGTTCAAAATGAGAAAGAGTATACATTTTATTTTAGAATGTTACACAATTTAGAGCTCCCTTGTCACATAAATGATTAAAAAATTGAATTGAATAAGAATGATTGGACCAAAGCAACACATTCACATTTTATAGTCTTCAATATTTAACAAATGTGAATTCCAGGTCTATGCAAATTTCACAAACCCTCCTATCGGTCTGATCGTTTCCCCTTATTGAATCTTTTTGCAAAGTCCTCATAATGGAAATTGATTTAGTCTTTTATCTGAAATGCTCACTCATCCCCTTTTCTCCTTGATGTTTATAGGAAAGATATTAGAGCTACATAAATATGAACTGAACCTTTTGGAAAAACTTTTATTGCTTCCAAGCAAATCTCTGTTACTCAGATGGATTGATGTTGATATGTTAATATGAGGTATAATGCAAGGTTTAGGATTCATCCTCTAGAGAGGTTGTCTGCAGTTTTGAGTGGGCATGAAAGGGATTTAATCCAATATTGAGCTCTTTTGTAAATTATGCACTCCAGGGGATTGGAAATAAACTGGAATATATATTGGAAATATACTTCCTCGCTTGTCAAGTATTTAGTCAGTCATCAAATTGTTGATGAGAAAGGTCAAAGGAGAGTGTGGCAACTGACAGAAAGAGAGAGAGAGAGAGAGAGAGAGAGAGAGAGAGAGAGAGAGAGAGAGAGAGTGTGTGTGTGCGTGTGTGTGCGTGTGTGTGTGTGTGATAAGTAACATTAAGAAACACATTTGTGGGACCTAACTTAAGTTAAAAGGCATTAAGTGCAGACCATGTACAAAGCTCACCTGAGCAGAAACACTTGTGCAGTTATCGGATTAATAAGTCAGTTTATTCTCTGCACAATGTCAAGTTAGTGTTTTGTTTTTGATTACATGACACACTGAAGTCTAAAAATGGCTTGAAAAGCAGTCATTGTTACAAAACCTTAAAAAATATATCACATAACAGCATAAAATGTGCAAGTTTATGGACTAAGATAAATCAGAGCAGTTGTGAGCTAAAGCTCATTAGGTTGGAACTCGATTGTGTGGATTTGTTTTGTCTCTACAATGTATGCCCTAATTATTTATAAAGATAAGATAGAATTTTACTAATACAGAGTGCCAGATATTGCTCAGAAAATTACAGTAACATGAAAATAAATGCATTACCTAATGACAAAGCAATAAGATAAAAATATGATGTAAAAAATAAGTAAGAATAGCAAAATAAGAAGTGACACTGGCAATGATACTGAAGTAGTAAAGACATATTGCACATATAATAAAACATTGCACCGACTATCGAGTAATGATGTTGTTGTTCAGTGTTAAGTGATCAGATGTATCTCCAAATCTGGTGATTTTAAATGTTTGTGATAAACTGAAAGATTAAGTGCTTCTAAGCCAAATAAATTATTAAAATTGTCTTTCACAGCTCAGAAAAATGACTATATCTTTTTTAAATGTTGAGACAAAGCATTTTCAAGCTAATCCAAAAGATGAACCGTTTGTTCTTACAAGCCCTGTCTCCAAAAAGTTATGTCACTTTGTATGTGACATTCCACAAATACATTTCTAGTCAGCATATTGTTGTCATTCATTTTGTTGCTTTACTATCTCTTCTTTTTAGCCAACCAATTGTGTATTAGATTGGGCAGCACTCATTGTCATGGTTGTTCCAAAAAATTGGAGAAGTCCCAATTGTGGTTGTGAGGGTGTGTTTTAACCCAAAGCATAATATTTTCCTAAACCCAACCAACTAGTTTCAGTGGCTATAACTAACTAAAAAGCGAGTGAAAACTGACATCAAACTTGAGTCTAACAATATTGTTCATACAGTCTCCTGTGTGAATGTCCTGAGTCAGACTTATGCCACCACAACCCGCGCAACCTCCTAAAACAGACTTTATAGCTGGTGGAAGCTAGAAACATTTCCTACGGCATAGTACTGAAGATGTTTTTTAAAAACATAACGAGGGATGGTATGTATTTGAGTTGTATGGAAACATAATTCTTGGTTTGTTTCTTACAGGACAGGGATGCTATGGGTATCTTGATCATACAGGAAGCACTGCTGCAGGTTAAACAGCATATAAAGTAGTTAAAAAATAGTTTAACCATAAACATGCACAGCAATAAAATTCAACTTATGTATTAATGCAGCAGTAGTAATAATGCTCAGACATCACCTATAATAGTAAAACACTGATAGGGATCATTTATATATTTCACATATTTTAGTGATGCAGGGTTTCTGTGTTCATAATGAGGTATAGACCTTTTTACTTAAGTCAGTGCTTTGAATACCCCTTCCAACGCCACATGGACATGTGCATGTTACATGCAACATTATTAAATCCAATGACTTGTTGTAGAAATGGGTGTGTGGAGGGAGAGATGTGCGACAAAAATACTGTAGCCAGTGAATGGCATAGTTCCATGTGTGAAATTCATTATTGTGGTTTGTCCAACCGACAAACAGATGGGCAGTTGGCGCTACAGCAGTTGCTGAGACACACAGCTTGTTTTTCAGGTGTGACTTAAACTATCAGGAAGATGCAAATCAAGCATCATTCTGCTGAAAAACATAGAAAAATACACTCCTTATATTTGCAGAACCTGCCTGAAAAAAAATAGGTTTTTGTCAGGTGTTATCTTCAATATCAAAATAATCCAGTGACAGCTAGCTCCACAGCTTGTTGCCAGAAATCAGGTTGTGTTCTTTGCTGAAAGTTGCAGTTGTTACCACACCATTATGTGTGAAGTACTGTAAATGCTTTAAATGAGCTGCTTCTTATGCTTGGTTTTAGAGGTTTGTTTCTGCTTGTTGAGTTTGTAGAACATAGCTGCAACTCAATTCTTGTTGTTTTCTTTATAAGTAAGTTTGGGTAACTTTTAATAGCAGTGCATAATACAAACAGATGAGCTATTGCTGTCTTTTTTCCCCCCTTGAGCTAATTTAACATAGTTTTTATCTCATTCTGCACATTTTCAAAATATAAGGGGAAAAAAACAATATATTGCATATATATTTGGCATTGTTGTGTTTTTGCTATGTGCAGCTGAGTAGACTTAGTAACACTCACTCTGTGGCTTTCCACTGCACTTTTAAATATGTATTCTTTCCTGTGACTGCATGGTTTCCTTGCAGAAAACCTCCCACAGTCTGCTGTCGCTGTGGAAAGAAGCTTGTGTAACATTACTAACTGGGTCAGTTCCTCTCTCCAGTCGAGCCAAGAGTTGTACAGAGCTTTTCCATCAAGCAGCACTCCACTGACTAACCCATGTTCCTGAATTTTCCCGACAGTACACTGATATCACAGTCTGGCTTCTACAGCTGTCTCATCCAACAGCATTTGTCATACTTTCATTACATGTCCTTAACAATACACAGAGCATTTTCTCAGGATTCATAGCTGTGAGTCATACTCATTACCTATCTGTTGTTGGTAGTTGTGTAAGACTGTGTGTGTGTGTGTGTGTGTGTGTGTGTTACTAGGTGGTGTTTGAGGTGGCTTTCAACAGTGCCAGAGGTGGATACGTGGCCATAGATGACATCTCCTTTTCCCCTGTATTCTGCCACACTGACACAGGTGAATGACGATATCTATGTTTTTTGTTCTTGTTTTTTTTAAGTTGAAAAAGTGCAAAAGTTGACTTGTTCTGTCTATAACGTACAGTAGACTTTAAGTTTGAAGTCTCAACTGTGACCACTAGAGGCTGCAATGCTATTTACAGCTGAAAATGTGTGTTGGGCTTAGGGAAGTTTATATAGTACGCTTTTAGGTTAAGAGATTCTTAACAATTTTCCAAACCAAGTCCTCTGTTTGACATTTACATGTTACAGGTAAAGCAGAGAGAGAGAGAGAGAGAGAGAGAGAGAGAGAGAGAGAGAGAGAGAGAGAGAGAGCGAGAGAGAACGAGAGAGAAGGCAAGCAAAAGAAAGGATTATAGAAAAGAGATAGAAAACTAGAAACCATAGAAAATAGACGACTAAGGAGGAGAGAAAAAGTCAATGTGGAAAGATGCAACCAAGAAAAAAACCAAGGAGAAAGGTAAGGGGGAGACAAAAGGGGATGCAAAACACAAAATATCAATATTATTGAAAACAAACAAGTCATGCAATTATAGCAATAAAGCCTTAATAGTAAAACTAAGTCAACATTATTATACAGCATATCTAAAACAACAGCTGTTAAGCAAACAGCTTTCCCGTAGAGAAATAAATCTGAATTTATAAATTTACCAAACAAGTTAAAATATTAAGATGAAAACCACACAGTAATAATTAAAATACAAATTTACGTAACTAATTTAAATATTCAGGTAAAGACCCATAGAACGTAAGACACACTAACAAATTACCTGACTGATTTCAGTTTTTAATTAATTAGAATTAGCAGAATCAGAATCCTTTATTATTGTTATTATGTATACGTTTCAATATACACAGCAAAGTTTCAGTCGGAAGTCCTGACTTTCAGCAAAATGGCATAAATAAAGACTTCTGACAACCAAGTATAAACACAAATAAGAAAGTATAAATACAAAAACTCAGATATAAATATAAACATCCTAATGATTGTGATTATGATTGTGAGGTCCAAAGCAACTCTTTATTTTGGCAGGGAAAAGGTTTTTTGTCAATTTCATAGAAATCTGCTTATGACCACTTTTATCAATGAATTGATGTGAAGGTGATGGCATCTGACATGTGGTCATTACACTTGAACAAGCACTAGAGTGGCATTTCAGTTTAAACTCATGACACCACTGTGTGTTGGTCAGACCTGGAGCATTTCTGTTCCAGCAGGGATCAATTCTGAACTGTATGATGTAATATAAAGTCTATGGCAGCTTAAGGCTCAATACACACAGAGACCTCCAGTAAACCACAAAACCAAGTGAATGCACCGGTTTGACATTTTTTGTGGTATTTCTCATGATCAGATGAGTCCATAAAATGTGTTTTTGGTTGAAAAAAAATCAGCTCTTAATGTGGTGCAAAAGAAAGTAAAAATCCTTGGAAGAATTTAGCATATCACTTCCCCATATTCTTGCCAGCTTACAGATTGTGTGCAGCAAGATTCTGTATTCTGTTTCATAAATTCTATTAATGAAAGCCTGCTTCACTAGACTGGGAATAAGCAGGGTTATGGTCATTAGTCATCAATCATTCAATAAATATTTCCTAAAATGTATCAGTGATGCCGCCTAAGAATGAAAAGAAAAAACTTTAATTTTCTCATATTAGTATTTATCAAGCATCATTGTTCTCGAGCAGTGCTACCACTCAAATGCAATGCAATGCTAGACTCTTCCATTTCCAGGAAACAGACAGAATGCAAGTAAATGAACACATGTATGGAAGTAGTGGTTCAAAGTATGTATGTGTCAGAATGTCTTCCTTTCAGGTTCATTAAAATCTGTTGGCTAGTTAGATGTTGGTGCACTGCTCAGCCCTTGGTTCTTATTTTACAGACACTGTTCACATCATAGAGCTCTGTTAGTGAGGCAGGTTCATACTGAAGTTTCTGTGTTTTGTGTTCCAGAACCGACCTTTGACCCATCTATAGCCAACTGTGACTTTGAGAATGGCCTGTGTCTGTACTATCAAGAGAGAGCAGAGAGTAAGGTGTGGAGTACAGTTTCAGTCAAGCCTAATGTCTACAGGATAGGGGACCATACCACAGGGACCGGTGAGTCACACTGCACCACTGAGTCCAGCATCTAATACTGCTCTGTGACAGCATACTTATGGTGACAGGATGAATGCTCTTTGCAGTTTTTGTACACGGACTCTTAACACTGCGATGACCTAGAATCATGGCTCTATGGAAACATATTCCTTTTTTAAATACATATCTGCTATGGGGGTGGGGGGACAACAATGTCTTGGTGGGTGGTAAAAGTAACGTCAGCATGAATGTAAGGACCCAAGGTTTCCCAGCAGAACACTGAATTGTATCAAGATTAGCCATATTATTCACTCCACCTCTTTCCTTCTTTTCTATTACCATAAATGTAGTGGTTTTGACACCAAGCACATTTGAGATATGGTGACAAAACATCTACAGCGATGCTGCAAGACATTAAGCACCTTTTTGATAAACATATTATTTCAAACATTTTTTAGTGAACAAACAACTAAAGCTTCTAGGCTGAATCAAATGACTGACCTTGTAAAATGCAGATGCATTGTAAGGTGTCGCATGTCTTCATGTCAGGAACTTACGCAGCTGTGACCTGGACCTTAACCCTTCCTTCAGGGAAAGAGGTGACTCCTTGCAGTTGCAGTGTATTCCACATTTTATATACCATTTTTTTTAAAAAAAAAGTTATTATCAGGATCAACTGTCATTTTCATGGTTTGTTTGGTAGGACAGTGGAACGAGCTGTGGTAAGGGTGACAGTCGTGGAAGAAGTAAAGGTGACAGTGTCACTGATATGCTTTGATGCCTGTATGGAATGTGAGCTTATGTTGGGGTCACCACAACAGCATCCAGCTGAATAAATAACTACAGTTTGTATTCTTTGTAAGACCGTATTTTACCATTTATTTACCATCCCTATCTGTGGACATCTCTGTTTGAACAACTTCCTGTACTTTTTGCACTTTGACCTCGAAACACACTTCAAAGCCACCAGGCAAATACAACAACAGCAACAGTATGCCCCCTGCTGTCCAAAATTAAAATCTGCAGAAAAGCTACAAACAGATTTTAAGAGTTTTTCAGTGTTTATTTATTTATTTATTTAATTATCTCTGTTTACCACCTGGCTACATATACGTTCACGGTAAGTGTAGTCCTTTTCACAGCACTTTTGGCTTGTCATAGGAGGCACAGGTGAGGCAAGACTCAGCTCCATGAAGTGTCCCAGGAAGCCATAACATTGAGCAGGAGTGTTCAATACAAGGAAACTGGGACAAACCAACATGGAATGTATCATTTGCAATGTTATCAGTTACACCTGTGCTTTTCCTGCTACAACAAGTTCAAATGTCTGCTGTGAAAAGGGTCCGTATTTGTTTCCTGACCCGCTGTGCCATGATGGACAGGCTGATTACCTTTGTGCTGTGTACCAATGTATTTAAACATACTGCAGTAGCTTCACCATTTTTCTTATTAATGCTCTTTTTCGTTTTTTTCTTAGGATCTTTCCTCCTGGCAAACACTCGTTTCATTTCGAGACCTGGTTATGTGGGTCGGCTTCATGGCCCTTTTTTACCTGGAAACCACAAATACTGTCTGAGGTTCTACTACATGCTTCGTGGGTTTAGGAAAATAGACAATGCTCTGGTTCTTTATATTTACGATGAAAATAATGTGGCCCAGGAAAAGGTGTGGAGCCTGACTGACATTTCCCATGCTGTATGGACTGAAGTAGAGATCACCTACATGAAGCCCATGTTGTCCAAGGTGTGAAGCCATATGTGAAGGCTGATGTTTGACTAATATGTGACTGATAGGTTTTATTGACAGCATGGATGGATGTAGGATGAATGGATTAGACTGATAACTGGATGAGTGGTTGAATATTAGTACTCAGGGTTTATCTCTCTTTCAGGTAGTGTTTGTCAGCATATGTAAGAACTTCTGGGAATGCGGCCTCGTAGCCATTGATGACATCACTGTGAGCCTGGGAGACTGTCAGATAACAGCAGGTAAAACACTGACACGTACGCTAACTGATGTGTAAATAAAAAAAAGTCAGGAGCTATGTTCTGGTTGATTTACAAATGCATGCTGTTGCCATGCTGACAGCAGGTGCTGTTTAATAAGACAGCAGTGGTTGTGCAGCTGCTTTGCAGAAATACAACACCATCTTGTGTCTCTGATTACAGAACAGGCAAACAGTCTCAAGTTGTTTTAGTAATATTATGAGAAAAGCTTGAAATGTCCCACATGGTGAAAATCAGTTTTTCTATCTTTTGTGGTTGTTATAAGCTTGGAGGTGTAAAATAAAAGCTGTTAAGATATAAAAACGTTGACTTCTGCTATTCCTCAAATCCCCCCAAAACTAGTTTAGCCTCCCCTTTGTAAGAATTACTTCTGTAGCACCAAACCAACAAATACTCATCCAGCTAAAACGGTAACTGACAGACACAGACCATGTGTTTTTCCAGAAGGGGACCGGAAAAGCAGGAGCAGCAGTAGCTCAGTGTGTTTTAAGAGCAAACAGGCAGGTCAAAAAACAAACAGTAACTTCACTAAACTTACAGGCAGCAAGCAGAAAGTGGCTGCAAATCCAGATTTAACAAGAACATCTTCACATGAAAAAAAATTCAAAAAATTCAAAGAACAAAGAGGGAACAATGAATGAAAAAAAAAAAATCAGAAAAGCGTAAGGAACATGCAGAGATTTGCAGGGAACATCAGCAGCCAAGGAACACAGACAGGTGAACAGACAAACTGACAGCTGAAAAGAGGCAGGACAAGACTATAAATGCACAGAGAGGCAAGACTGGTGAAATATTTAGACAGTCACAGAAGCTGGAAAACACTGGAACCAAAGACACACAGGAAAGTGATTACTGAAGTAAGACAGTCACAAAGTTACTGAAAAAATAGGACTAGAAAACACACACATACACAAACAAACAGACACACTGAAGTCCCTTTCGCACATGAACTCCCTTCTGTTATTCTGACAGAAACTGAACATGATGTGTATGTTTATATGTAGACCATCCAGCATCATGAAGTGTTTAAATTCAAACTCATCTCTCCACGTTTTACAATCTGAAAACCTTGCTATCCGACAGGTTTTTAGGAAAAACAAACGGAACCCATGAAAAATAGCCTTAAGATACCAACAGCCTTGGATTCCGACTCCGATATGACATTTTATGTCACAAATAAGGATATCGGCATATTATCTGATTTAACAATCCGACAGATTGACTGCATTCAGGCTCAATTCGGATTTTTCTGTGAAATCCTTTTTTATTTTTTGCAAGTTCGTTCACATTTCCAATTGAATGCGACTTGTATGTGATCTGCTGTATGAACCTTATACGACCCAAAAGTGTCCTGCATGCACAGAAGAGGCCACAATGACGTCACACACAGCGAGTGTGCTCAGCGTTTCCATAAGTAAACACAGATGGTAATGGTGGAGCGTATCTTGCGATTTTAAAGTTTTTTTTTTTTTTTTAAAGTAGTTGTCAAACCGGAGCCGGCATATTTACAACGCAATCGCTATGGTTGTGGTGGTATTCTTCCCCCGCCGCCGCCGCCACCGATGATGAAAGCAGAACTGTGACCGCTAACCAAACTGGCATTAGCAGCCAAGTACTGCCTGTGCTTTCCCGGCCACTTCCACCCCATTAGAGCGCATCCCTGGGGTGGAAGTGACCGTTCAAGCATCAAGCCCTCCTTGTATCTCGACCTCCATCTTGACAATCCAACAGCCTTGCTATCCGACATAAAAGAAGGTTTGACATTTAGTGTCTGACTATAGAGTCACAACTGTAATTAGGACCAACATTGTGATATTGTAACTTAACAAGTAACGGAACATGAATGTAAATGTTTAAGAATTAAAATCACTGCGTTGTTTTCTCTGAGTATGGCAATTCTATAGAATTCCTTCCACTGAACTATGTTGACTGGACTCTCCTTTACTTAAAAACTACAATAGTGCCATTTTTTTAGGAAATCTACCTCTAAGGGTTCATCTTTACTTTGTGGACTGACTGCTTTGCTCCACAGCCTCCCTCCCAGGCCAGTGTAACTTTGAGGGTGGAGTATGTGGCTTCATACAGGATAAGAAAGGGGATAAGGCTGACTGGTTGCGAGTCCAAGGACACACCCCCACCTCCTATACGGGACCCAGAGGAGATCACACCACAGGGGTGGGTGAGTCATTTCCTCATTCATTAATGTATTTATTCATTTAATGGACATACCCTCACATATTGGCTGAATGGAAACCTGTATGTGATGTGAAAATTAACAGATTCATCATCGCACTGTTTTCAGTCTCAGGAATTCAGACTTTTACAGTTTATATTTGTATCCTTTCAGCATATTGCAATTAATTGGTGTGAGAGGAAATCAGATTCTTTTACCTCCTCTTGTGTCTGTTTTCATCCATCCATAAAATAGTTACACACGCTTAATCTTGTACAGGGTCATGGGGGGCTGGAGCCTATCCCAGCTGACATTAGGTGGGAGGCGGGGTAACACCATGGCTCTCACTTGACTAGCAAACTAAGTACTTTTTGATAGTGATGATAGTGTTAACCACGGCATCACTGTACCACCCACTCTGTTTTCAAGCTTTGGAAAATCAATCCCATGATGGAGACTTTGGCCAAAGACAGGTCTTTTCAGAGAGAGGGCGTCCTTTCTTTTGGCTCATCTAAAAATGCAGCTGTGTGTGCATGTTCCTTCAGATAGTGGAAAACCTGAGTCAATGGAGGAAAATTCTGTCAGAAAAGTTGCTATTTTAGCATTCACAACAACTTGCTACACTGCAAAGCATCCCAAAAAAATGAAGAAAAACTTATCAAAAAGAGAGTCTGAAAGAGAGCCTGACACTAAACACAATGAAACGTGTCAGTGTGCCCATAGAACTGGAGTTACATCCATTAACTACTGTTTTCTGAGCTTGCTGTTCTTCTCCTGCACAGGTAAGCTGTAAACTTCATTTTCCTGTAAAATCTAAATGTGTTTTGTTGGTTAAGGTTGTGAAGGCAGCTGGTGTTGAGTAGCTATGCTGAATATTGCAACTAATGTAATCTTCTGCTACCTGTTACCAAAGGCGAATGACTGCTGCAGCAGATAATTCAATTTCCTTGGACAGAAAGGGAAGGGAAGGGAAGGGGGGGGCAGCAGTGCCCTATTTTCAAATTCTTCAGTTGACTTTTTTTCTTTTTCTAGATTTCTGTTTTCCCCAGTTTTAAGATGTTGTAAGATTGGAGCTGTTACTGTGATGTTAACACGTGCTCTATTCTTTGTGAGTCTGTGCAGGAATCAAGTTCATTGCTATAAAGTGTGAGCACTGTGTGCCTCCTCCAGGTTATTTCATGTACATTGAGGCATCACTCATGCGTCCGGGTGACAGAGCTCGACTGCTGACCTCTGACCTGCGGGGCTCATCATCTCTTCAGTGTTTAATCTTCTACTACCACATGTATGGATCTGGCACTGGCATCCTAACTGTGTTCCTGCGCCATGGCAGCAAAGAGCAAGACACGCTGCTGTGGAGACGGCGTGGTGAGCAGAGTGTCGGCTGGATGAGAGCAATGGTGGACTACTCCTGTGATGCCCAACACCAGGTATGTCATTGTAGATTGCAGAAGTCACAGAATGACTCCTGACAAATAGGTATTGAGAAATCACCATTAAGTAACGAACAACAGCTCCATATGAAGTTGAACATACATAAAACCTTTTTTTTTTCACTGTCTGACATTATGTGTGACTAAACTTTTCCTGTTTTAGGTCAGTTAGGATTACAAAAATTATTTCTATCTGCTAAATGCCACAATAATGAGAGAGAGGATTTTTTTTCAGAAGTTGACATACATGTCCTTAATATTTGATAGCATTGCCTTTCAACTGCATGACTTGGGTCAAACATTTTGGGTTTCCTTCCACAAGCTTCTCACAATAGTTTGATGAATTCTGGCCCATTCCTCCTGACAGAACTGGTGGAACTGAGTCAGGTTTGTTGGCCATCTTGCTCCACACGCCTTGTCAGCTCTGCCCACAAATTTTCTACAGGATTGAGATCAGAGCTTTGTGATGGCCATTCCAAAATAGGGACTTTTTTGACCTGACGTCTCCTTGTAACTAATCTGGCAGTATGCTTAGGGTCATTGTCCATTTGAAGACCCATTTGCGCCCAAGCTTTAACTTCCTGGCTGATGTCTTGAGATGTTGCTTCAATATTTCCTGTTCTTTCCCCTTCGAACTGCCACCTTATTGTGGTGGGGGAGTTTGTGTGCCCAAATGATCCTAGGAGCTATGTTGTCTGAGGCTTCATGCCCCTGGTAGGGTCACCCATGGCAAACAGGTTCTAGGTGATGGGACAGACAAAGGACAGTTACAAAACCCCTATGTTGAAGAAAAAACCAAGGGCCGTGACGTCACCCGGAATGGCGCAGCCGGGGCCCTACCCTGGAGCCAGGCCTGGAGTTGGGGCTCGCATCTCAGCGCCTGGTGGTTGGGCCTTTGCCCACGAGGCCCGGCCACCAGGCGCTGAGATGCCTTAAAATACATCCACAGGTGTGCCTCCAATGAACTCAAAAGTTGTCAATTAACCTATCAAAAGCTTCCATCATCATCTGGGCTTTCCCAGATAGTTTGAAGGCATAGTAATCTTAGTGTAGGTAAACTTCTGACTTTGAAGACAGTGATAAAAAAATTCTGTCTCTCATAATTGTGGCATTTAGCAAATAGAAATAATTTTGGTAATCCTAACTGACGTAAAACAGGAAAAGTCTAGTCTGATTTAATGTCAGACAATGAAAAAAAAGATTGTACGCCTTTTTATACCGCGTATGTGAACTTTTGGTTTCAATTGTATATTGAAATACTGAATGCATTGTGTTCACAACCTTAGTCACAATGTTTATGTTTCCTACAGATTATATTTGAAGCTATCCGAGGCCCATCACTACGAAGTGATATTGCTATTGATGACATCCTTTTTAAAAGGGGACCATGTGAAGGTACAGTATAAAAATCACAGCTATTGCACCGTAAAAAGCTGTTGTTGTGTTTCTACTTGTGTCTCACTGTCACCCAAATTGTTGGGCCATGTATGTATGTCACACTTAGTTGCAGAAAAATGTTTGAAACTGTAAACAGGCCACAAGTCAGATTTTTATTGGGCTTGGTTAGCTATATGATATCTAGCAGGATTGTCATGAAATAGCAGTTCACATTTTATTTGTTATATTATTTTATTCTTTTATTAACACTGTTTGAATTTAAAATGGTTGTCTGTCGAACCTTCATACAGAGCACTACTAAGTAATGCCTGAGATGGTATTATTATAATTACTGTCAGTCATATTGCTTCAGCTATTCTTGAATGAATCCTACAATCATATCCAACACAGTCAACCTTTCTCTGAAGTTTTCTATTGCAGATTTGTTGTTACAAAATAGTAATTTTCTAATGAATTACCAGTCTAGTGATTTAGATATTTGTACAGAACTATAGATGCTGTTTGATGAGTGGAACTGTAAAATTTGTGTTGTCTTGTCTTCTTCAGATTCTGGGGACAACACTCCATACTCAGGATCCTCAGAGTATTTCAATGAGATTGAAAACTGACGTTGATGAGAAGTCTGTTGTGCTAGTTTCTCAGAGTTGGCTGGAGTGGTTTTCAAAAGGGTGAATGCCTATCCACTGTCACATTCCCATTACATTACATTACATGGCAATAAATCACACGATCACAATTCAGTGCTAAGTCTGGTAGATACTATGTACAGAAAGTTGTATAAGTTTTTTTTGTCACTCTGTTTATAAGGTATAATTTAAAAATGGTGATTGCTTTGCTACATCTGTGACCTTGTTTTCTATACTTACATCAAGACATAAATCAAGTGTTTGTCCGGTTGCTTTTCAGCAGAAATGATCGAGGACCCTTGCTTCAAAATTTTATTTCCTTTGTCCTGTCATTTACTTTATTTGGTAAATTATCACCACAGAAAGACTCTCAGATAATAGGCAGAAACAGAGGGAGAACATGAACAAGGTTCTAAAGAAATCTGACCTTTTCATACTGATGAGGCTCCTATGAAGATACAAATTTTACAGTTTTACCCTAGAGCCCTAAACAAAAAAGCATCAAGTAAAGTTATTCTGTAAGTCCATGCCTACCAGCTTGTGCATTTTGTGTTCAGGTTTAGGGAATCAAAGGTTTTCTTGTAAGCACAGATATTTTCTGTTTGGTCTTATAAAATATTTGCAAAGTAGATTTTTCTAAAAAGTTTCAGCACTGTTTATTTGCTTTGCTGTCTTTTACTGTACTGGCTGCTGCTTTGCTTCCACGTGTTGGTCGAAGGGATAACACAACACCATTGGTAGAAATGCATCCACATGTCACCTTAAGGTATGTGCATCTTTGGGAGACTGCATGAAAACACATAACAGGGATGGGGACTCACACATAAGAGATATTCTCTTAAGCAAACTCCACAGTACACCAATCACTGCTTTGTTCTTTTTTCTTTTTTTATTTATTTCTACAATGGTTTTTAAAATCTGAAAAGTACATTCAGTCATCACTCCCATCAGTGGAGTCACCTTTTAAACCTCATCTGTGGCTGCAGCTGCAGAGTCAAAACACAAACATATCTCATCTCAGAACACAAATAAGGTAGTGTAAGTTTCACCAGAATTCACTAATTCACTCAATGTTTTTTATGCTATTTTCACTGTGACAAAGGACTTGGGTCCAGCTCTTTAGTTCCTATCTATCTATGACCCAAAGGTGTTCTATTGGATTTAAGCAAGGCTACATAATTGTCCAGGTCACAGTTTTCACTTTATACCTCTCTCTTGCTTTGGCTTGTTATGCTGAAATGTTCTTCCTCTGCCAAACTGGATTGGAAGTCATGTAGTCAGCCAATAGGTTTTTCAAATCCACAAGCATTCATAATGCCATCTAAAAATGTAATTGTTCCAACACCTTTTGCACTCATGCAGCCTCATATCATTACACTCCAACATCTACACGTTCCTGTCAGGACTAGGTCGTCACTGCGGTAGTCCTGACCAGGTTATCACCAAACATGCTGGACCCTATCTGAGCCAAACAAATTCATCTGGTCTCATTTCTCATTCATTCATTAGGGTTTCTTTTGGTTTTATTGTGTGTTATTAAGCAAAATGTTCCCTTTCTTTTAGTTTTGCGGAAAAGTAAAAACAAGGGTTTGTTACTTGGACACCCTCAAAAAAGACTGATATGATGCACTGTCCTTCACACTGTCTGAGCTGTCACAGAAAGTCTGATTTCCATTGACAACCCCTGTGTCTGAAGCACCTGCCCAACTGTTTTTTAGAGCACGTTGTGCATGTAGTACTGTGGCTCATTCTATACCTCCTGATTACTGCTGCAACTGTTTCCACTGATTTTTAGTTGCATGTCAGTCTTCGTGTATCCTTTTCCATCTTTCTGGAGCCTTACCATCACATTTTTTCATGTCCTTTGGCAGTTCTACCATCTGCAGCTATGATGTACACATACAGAAAGTCACAGTCCACAGGTCCAAAACATTCTGATGTTCACAGTCAATTTTATAACAGTGTTCATGACCATTCATTCAGTTCTGCCATTGGGCCAGGAACCAAGAATGAAAAATACACAATATGGGAGGCTAACCCACAAATACTTATTATGCTTAGTCGCATCTTCCATTCTAATCTCACAGGTAACAGGGTACAGGTTACTGTTTGTACAGAGAAATGGTAGACAAAATAAACAGAATCATTACCACAAATCATAGTAACAGTTTTGTAACATTTTATTTTATTCAATTAAGCCAAAGTTAAAATGAACTTTATTGTCACTGTCTTCTACATGTGCAGTACATACAGAGAAAGTAAAATGCCAAAGACACCAAAGAAGACAAGGTTGGAGGGACTCCCTCTGAGCAAGCAGTCGGCTCCAAAGGCATTTTTGGATTGTTGGGTTCTTTGTTCAAATTTGTTACTATGTTATGCGCTGCGAGATGACATATGTTGTAAACTGCGCTATACAAATAAAACTGAATTGAACTGAAATACAAAATACACCATCACCCATAAAGTTGGAATCATTTTTGTTTCGGACACATTCCTCTTTTTATTTCTATTTATACACATGATTACATACTGAGTCCCAGTTACCAGGTGAAACCAATTCTGACTTCAGGATCTGACTGAAGAGTGGGACGTCCTGCCCATTGACACCATCAACAAGCTGGTGGACAGTATGCCATGATGTCTTAATACATTGATTGTGTCAGGGTGGCCAGACTCAATATTAGTGACTGAGGGACATTTGAAAGAGTAATATTGGACATTCTTATGCATGAAATCCCTCGAATATGAGTTTCATGTTAAATTGACCAAGGTTGAAAAATTGAAACAAAACCCTTAATCTATTTTTTTCACTACCAACCCCATTTTAGTTTAAGCCTGAATACACAGTTTGCAAAAGTTAATTGTGGTTTAATTTTTACTGTGATATGTATTGTATGTATATTGTGAAATCAATAAAGTTTTGAGAAGATATACACTTTATCTATCAAGAATAAGTTGCTTTGTGACAATCACTTCATGAGAACAGGTTAAAAAAAATTTTTTTTCCAACTTTATGGGCAACAGTGTGTAAATACTGTGCAAAATTGTATCTGTAGCAGCATACTGGGAAAAAGTGATGGGAATGTGACACAGATACATCTGTGAGTCATATTTTGCCACAAAAAAAACAGCATTTAAGGAACAAGCATCCAATACTTCTAAGTTGTACAGAAATTATAACATTTACAAAAAATGTGACATTGTACCTAATTTCCCTGTGTGCCATGTGCATGTTTTTATTGTGCATACATCACTCACACAGCATGATCATTCTATGAAAAAGTTTTACCACGCCTCTGTTTGTACTACTACCAGAGAAATGTCATCTCCACAGTTCTGTCAGTATGACCGTTAGAACAGGCCTTTTTCTACTAATAAATTTTACATGCCACAGAAAAAAAAGCACAAGTGTGAATACCACTGATTATTAGGTTTCCTAGTAGAGTAGAAAAAAGCCATTGTTCATCCATTATCTATACACCGTTTAATCCTCACTAGGGTCGCGGGGGGCTGGAGTCTATCCCAGCTGACTTAAGGTGAAGGAAGGGACACTGTGGACAGGTCAGCAGTCTATCACAGGGCTACACATAGAGATAGACAGCCAAGCACACTCACATTCACACCTACAGACAATTTGGAATCATCAATTAACCTCAACATGTTTTTGGACTGTGGGAGGAAGCCGGAGAACCCGGAGAGAACCCATGCTGCACGGGGAGAACATGCAAACTCCACACAGAAAAATCCCGGGCGTCCTAATAGGGACGCGAACCGGGGATCTTCTAGCTGCGAGGCAATGGTGCTAACCACTGAGTCACCTTGCAGCCCATGAGTCAGAATGGGTTTTAAAAAATATGTATCGAAATTGGACAATGGTCACATGTCTTTCCACAAATAAAAACAGAAGATGCAGTGTAGTGAGTTTTGATTTAGTAATTGTTTTTTTAGTCATTGACATGTAAGGCCTGCAAGACATTTTCTGTCTACATTGAGCGAGAACTCATTGTGAGAATCTTATAAGCTGCAGTGTTAAACATTTGTGTAATGATGTTTAAGAAGTGCAAGAAATATATTTGAAACCAGAGACAATTCAGATTTTCACAACATATACACTAATAATTAGCAGCAGATACATTTGCAATGATCAAAATAAATATTGAATCTCCCTGTATGCTGTAAATATCCCATACAGGGGTTTCACACAAAGGCAAAAAACTTTAAGGAAAGTTAGTCTTCTACCAATATCTGTAATCACTCTCTGCTACAGTGTGTCTGAGGGTGTACAGGAAGTGTCTATTGGGTAAGAGCACCCTCTGATGGTTAGAATATTCCTTTAATCTGAGAGGAACAGCAGCAACCTTCACAGCTTTCATTCATTCACTATAATATTTTCAATCATTCATTCATTTAACTCTTATGCATACTCGAGACATCATTGATTGACCCTCTTTTTTTTAATGACACTGAGTTAGATTTTTTTTTAAAAGAAAATATACATAACAACACAGTTCATACTGTGTCATAGTATTGTATAGTGAGTGTGTCTGTGGGGTCTAACTTTATTACTAATTTCTTATTCTAATTACATTCCATTGTGATCAGACCACTATATTGTTAATAGTAATAATGTTATTAAATTGCAATAAGAGTAAAGAACGTTGTTAGGTGACGTAGTTTTAGAGCCATAGAGTCACAGATCGGAGAGGATGGATGGTCTAACATCGCATTAGACTTAAACACGTGAGAATAACATTCTTTTAGTCACTTTTAACCATGGCTGTTCCTTCACTGCATGTTTGTAATTGTAACTATTCAGTGGAGGCTGAAGGCTTACTGGTTTAGTGGTGGCTGGCTGTAGAACAGCGTAAAATGATCAAGGTAGAGCTGAAGGCTGAGCACATGGAACATTGGCGCACAGGTGAACTGTGCGGCTGTTGCTCAGGTGGTAGGAGCGAGTTGTGGACTGATTTAAAAGTTAGTGGTTTGGTCCCCTGTCCACCCACTTGTCCTTGAGCAAGACACTGAACTCAAAGTTGCTCCCGATGTCAGGCAGGCACCTCAGACAGCTCTGTTGCCATTGGCGTGTTTAATGGGTGAATGAGAAACACACTGTAAAGTATCACTAAGATAGAAAGGCGCTATCTAAGTGCAGACCATTTACCATTGATAGCTGAGTTACAAGTAAGGCATACAGAAGATCCTACATAAGAACAGACAATGAGTCAGGAAAGTATCTCAAAGTTAACAAAAACAGAATACTCACCTGAATCACTGGAGAAGAGGAAAGTCCAGAGTTTTATGTAGCAAGTTGTTTTGGTGCCTAAACTTCACATGAAAGCTGAAAATACAATATTTTCTACTGTCAGTGGTCAGTCAGGCAACCCTTCTACCAGTCATATCAGAGGGTAGACACTAATGAAGGACTATAAGGTCATTCAGGTTGGATGATTTGTTGCAAATTAAATTTCAGCATTGGGATTTTGCCATGTTTTACAGCTGCATTATTCAACAGAACAGATGTATTGCTGGTTTGTATCACTTTGTTTCCCCACAATTCAGCAGGAAATATTTGGGTTTTCAGAACCATTCAAAAAAGCATTCCTTGTTTTGTCAAAGCTTTGAACAATACTTAGTGATCCTCGGCAGTATGATTTGGGAACACACAGAAGAGATGGCTTAGAAAAGGTTTATAAGTAAACCGGGCATTATGTTCTTTCCCTCATACTTTTGGATTTTTTTTCCAATGTCAAGAATAAACTTACAGGCTCTAAATGTTGTACAGTGACTAAATGTGATGATGAATAATACCCCAGACACCACTGTGGTCCCTCGGAGTGCAATGGCATGAAGAGAATTCCAGTGTTCAGCATTTGCTTTTTCCAGTGTCAGTTGGGGCTAATTGTAATTAAATGTAAGAGTGGAAGTAAAATTAGTAGGTGAATTATAAACAATGCTTCAGGACTGATCTGTTCTGAATTCTTGGAGTTTTTAAAGGTGGTTTGTAAATTTTGGATGAATTTGGATTTGATTTAATTGTCTGATTTGCTGAAATAAGTAGAGAGTAGCATAAACTACAGCAAGACGACAGTTAACCTGCAACAGAGGATCCCAGATAATGCTTTCTCAACCACAGGACATAGTCATTATACTTCTCAGAATAAAAAGGCTAAATAAATTATTGAAGAATCAATGACCTTGCAGTGAGAAACAACTAATTAGTTTGTCATCATTAGTGGAAGTAGTCAGTGTTTGACAGTTGTGAGGCAATTGATTGCACCTGGCGATTTGGTTGACAATCCCTGGAGGTT